AGACTTCTAAACAGTCTGGAAGGATGACTCTGTCTGACTCCTGGCTGCCAGGAATAGAGATCCAATCATTACCGCAAGAGTGCGTGGGGGCTCTGCGCTCCTCAGGGGCATGGGGCCTGGATGGCTTTGCGGCAGCTCAGAGCCTGGCCTCCTTCATCACTGCCCAGGGTGTCCCCTCTCTGTGTTCTTGCTTTGCTCTCTCTATGGAGCACTTCATGAGCAGCCATGCAGAGATCTGATGGGAAAGAACAGGGAAGATGTTCATGGCGAAGAGTTCGCTTGCTACTCTAGAGCAGAGTGGTTTTCGGCATCTGAGGGGACCAGATCTAGAACCCCCGGTAGATACCAAACCCCAAAGATGCTCAAGTCCCTCACAGGAAAGGGTACAGGGTCTGTGTACAATCTGCCCACATCCTCCCACATACACTCAATCATCTCCAGGCTTCTGATGGTAACTAATGTGTGTCAACGGTGGCGATACCATAATAATGCTATAATAACAAGAAAAGGGTCTCTCCCTGTGTTAGTTGTAGATGCGCCTTTTAAAAATATTTTTGATCTGCAGTTGGTTGAACCCATGAACTTGTGGTTATGGAGGATGAACCATTAGGCGCTCTGGCCTGCCTTGAACATAGACACACTCAAAAATTTCAGCCTTCAGCTTAGGGTGTGGCTCCGTGGTAGAGCGTTTGCCCAGCATGAGCGAGTCCCTGCGTTAGGTCCCCAGTACCACAAGGGGAAAGCAGTAGGTTTGCTGCTATTGTTGTCCTCTTTCTTTTCAATCATCTTCCTCTGTCTGTTCACAGCTTTTGTGTGCCTGAACTCACCTGGCCCTGAGTCTATTAGTCAGCTTCATCAACAGCCCTCTTTACTTTAGTTCCTGCTGGTGGCTCCAGCATTCAGTGTCCCAGTTTGGATAGCTAGAAAAGAGGTGATCTGGCTAGCCATGCATCCATGTACCTGGTCACAAGGGGCCTCCGGATGAACCGCTTGGGGTCTAATAGGACCCCTTGATCTAAATTGCTAGGATGGAGGAGAAGGACCCTGAACAAACCTGCTTCCTGGACCCCCAGACTGAGTCTGGGCCAGTGTTCTAAGTAATGGTGAAGAGAAGATGACCACCTGAAATAGGCCTAGTGGGAGGGCTAGTTGGGCAGAAGGTCCATCAGAGCCACAGCTACAGAGGACAAACCCCTGTGGTCCCCTTGCCTTGTCTTCTCCTTAAAGAGAGATTCTGAGGCAGGGGTCTCATCCATCACAGGAGATGGAGGGGTCCCACACCCCAGGCTTCGCAGCCTGTGCATGAGAATCCTACTACTCAGGACCCAGCGGCTGCACTGAGCATGTGCTCACCATGCATGGACCCTCCAGCCCACCCTTGTGGGGGACGCCAGCCTCCAGAGAACTCAAATCTGCAGGTGCTCCCCAAGGATTGTGGGAGCCTCTGTGTTTTTTTTTGTTTTTCCCATCTGCAACCCCAGGCTGCCAAAGCATATTGGGAGGAGAATGAGAGATCACGGAATCAAAATAATGTAAAGGAAATAAGTGCTGAAGAGGATCATCAACATCCTTTCTGAATAGATTTCCTGCCAGGGAGACAGAGCAAAGGGAATGTTTTACCCCTGGGACCCAGGCAGACAGTGGTCCTTAAAGGGAGAAAAAAAATCACTTCCTGGAAGAGAGTCCTTTCATTGTTCCTTTAAGAGGGAGGCAGGAGCTGCCAAGGCCCAGATCAAGCCCTCCATTATTGGGGTGTCTCCATTTGCTCAGCATGAGGAGTTGCAGGAGCCCCAGCTGTGACATGGGCCACATGGTGATGGCTTCGCAGCAGCCCTGGAGCATGGGCCTGGGAGGAGCTCTGCCCCTAGGGCTTCTCACTTGTTGGAGGGGAGAGGGGTGCTTCAGAAGTAGCAGCAGGGGCCAAACTTGGTCCCAGCTGGGCCACCTGGCTGGAGGTCTTTCTGACTTATTCCAAACCTTGCTTTCTTCCCAACAAATTCGCATTCCACCTCCTTTGGAAAACCCCCATGGGCGAACGTCTTAGGTACCATTCTAGCTGACTGTACAGTTTAAGTGAAATAATATGCGAATGGCTGTGGGCCAGGGCAGGTGCTTCAGGCTGTGCTTAGCTCCTTTATTTTCTCTCTCTCGCTCTCTCCCTCTCTTCTATCCAGAAACCTTGCTTCATTCCTGGGAATGTGGGACACATTTGCTTTGCCATGGCCCCCTAGAGCCATGATACCCTTTGAGTTCTGGCAGTAGAGACCGCACTGCTGGCCTCGCTGCTGCTGCCCATCACCAGCACTGTCCAGTCCTCTAAGGAGCACCTTGGGGAGCCACAAGCTCTCCTGGGTTCAGCACAGAGGGGGCCCTGTGGGGGCGGGGGGCTGTGCCTGGAGAGTGGGAGAGAGCTCACATCCAGGTGCCCCCCGTTTCACTCCCTGCTCTATTTTCTTCGTGGTCTAACCACAGATGTTTCTTTCAATCCTGTATTTGAAAAATCTGCCCCTAGTTTTCATAACATTTCCGGCCAACTCTATTATTGTGTTAACTGCCATGAAAAAAATATTTTCACTTTAATAAAAATGCCAAGAAGGCTCCTCTTACAGTCTATTGCTCCCCGCTTTCTCTGGTTGTGCTGAGGACCCCACTTTCCCAAGCTCTGTGCTAATACCTAGGATAAAACCACAGATAAAACAACTGCTATAAATTCCCAAGCTGACTGAGCATCCACTGTCTATTTCATTCTCCAGCTGTCTTGCGAGGGATCCTACGTGATGAGTGAGGAAACTGAGGCAGAAAGAGGTTGAGCAATTTCCCCACGGTCTCGGAGCATGGGCTTTCAGGGCCAGGAGTTGAACCCAGATTGCCTGGCTCTAGAGTCCAAATGCTGAGACTGAGGCTGTGCTGATCTATCGTGCAGCTTATCTTCAGTTAGCTCACAGGTGACAGAAAAAGAGAGAGAGGCGAACAGTGGACCCTGGATGCATCCCAGAGCCCAGAAGGGTTGCAGGGACAAAGCACTCAAGTCTTGTGTAAGGTCAGTGCTTGAGGTCAGGCATCTGGGGCCAAGCAGCTGGCCTTGGAAAGGCAGCTTGGGACGCTGGGGTGTGGGGTGTGAGCGGCCCTGTAGCCTCCAGACAGAGCTTCAGCTGTTCCAACCTGGAGCCGCCCTAGGCCAGGTTATCGGATGATCAGACAGAACCAGGACAGTTACTTTGTCTGTCTCACTTTATCTCTGGATCTCACAAGCCCTCTCCAAATCTAGCTTCTGGTTCCCAGTTTCCGAGCACCGGCAGCTCCATGGCCAGAGTTCAGAAATCTATAACTCAGCATGAGCAGAGCACACACTCCGGAGCCGTACCACACTCCAGGCCGGGTTTTTCATAATTGGTTTTCAGAGAGCCTCTTCCATGATGTGTAATTGTTAGCAGTTGTAAAAAGATAACTCACATTTTTAAAAGCTTAAAGCTTGCTCTGTGCAGATAAAAACTGTGACAAATTATGTTCCGAAAAATCATAAAAGTAGAGAGAGACATGTTAATAACCAAAGGTGCCGTTTCATTTAGAGGTCAGCCCGAGCTATTAAAGTGGTCAGGAATTTCAAGCTTTGGCAGTAGCGATTTGACCAAATCGCTTATCTCCTCCAGACCATGCCTAAGCATCTCCCTTGGTAAAAAATAATCCACCGACAGTCATACCAGAGGTCAGGGGTAACTGGGGAGAAGAAGCAATACTGCCCAAATAAACTCCACTTTCAAAGAGAGCCTTTCCAATTCACCAGGGCCACTTACTGCCATGGATCCACCGTGTGACCCCTGTATTTGAGAACATGCTTGCATACATGGCCACTGACACCCATGTCCAGGCGCAAATCCTCAAACATGCCATACGAGGTAGTCAGGTGGAGATATTTTTCGGGAAAAATGATAAAGATGATGACAAGATTTGATGACATGTACAAGTGTTGGAAATGGTATCTGGTTTTCCCAATCTTCAAAAAATTGAATGTTTTATCCTTTAGCCAGCAAAAAGGCAAATGCAAAGAATGAGCACTCTTCAGCCTGTGGGAGAGACTAAAGTTCTCGCCTCTCCCCAGGAGTGGAGTCATGAGAGATGAACAATTGGAGTCCAGCCCTGTGGGTTGAATCCATCCAAATGTCTGCCACCCCAGAATGCCCCCACAGCCAAAGATCACAGTCTTAGATGGGGTCAATTTTTACAGTGAGTTATTGTTTCTGAATTAGATTCATAGTCGGTGCCCTTGAGACTCCAATAGTATTGGTCTTACAGGATGGGTAGACAAGGCTGTAACTCAGTCTCTAGTGTATACTTTAGTTTGGAAAAAGCACAGAGTGTAGCTCAAGCAAGCTAAGTTTTGGTTTTATATCTACTTGGGTGGGTCGTGCTAAGCAAGCTCCTTAATTCCCCAGGGCTTGGTTTTCCACCTGGAAAGTGGATACATCCCACCCCATACTGCTAATGTCCGGTGGTAATGTGGACCCTATATTCCACCAGTGCCTTTTGGTATCCCGAGGATATCAGCACATTTCAGTCATTTTAGAAATCGCATTATTTTTATGCCATTTGATTGGCCATTGTTTCTTGGAAAGAGATAAAGGAAAACAAATGAAAAGTTACAGACAGAGCCTTGCTCTGATAAGCAGATTGCCCATAGTTAATTTTTGTTTGATTTTAATATAGTTAATATTCATCTAAGAAAAAAACTTAAAGAAAGGATCAAAGTAGCCTCTAGCTGTTGAAGGACAGTGTCATATGAGCTGCAAGGACACATTTGCTGAGAATCTTCCAATTCAGCACAAAGCCCCATGGTAAGAAATACATCTCAGAACAGATATTGGTCTTTTTAAACATCTACATGACCAGCTCTCCTATAATATATAAATCTTAATAGTCAAGAAATATGAACTTTCTGCAAAGGTTATAAAATCTATGCTATTTATTCACAGACCGGATCAGCACACATAACATGGGCAAATATATGTAGCTGAGTTTTTTATCTTGTAGCTGAGTTTTAATGCATTAGAAATGAACATAATGATGTGTGTGCTTATTTCAATTCTTCATAGATATTCCATACCACTTAAACATGGAGAAAGGAGAAATAAATTACAATAGGAGAAAGGACTCTATAAATCAGCAGTGGTCTGAAATAGATTTCTTAACAAAATTTTGTGGAAGATTTGAGGCAAGAAATCTCAACACAGTTGTAAACTCACTGGGTTTTTCCCCTTCATAAAAAGTTATTACTATTTATTTTTATTTATATCCTACTATGCACTCAGCTAACTGCTTAGCTAAGAGTCACAGAAAAAAAATAAGACTTTAAGAAATTTAATTAATAAAAGTTGCCTAAATTTCTCCATTGGAATGCTTACCTGATAAAGGTAATCTTCTCCAATTCTTTACATTCTTAAATATTTAATATCATTTATGTTATTAGAATTGCTTATATAGTAAGTTTTAGGAATGAATCTCAAACATTCTTGATATAGACCTTCAAACTCCAGCTTGTTCTCTTTATTCTATTTAAACCTACTGCCTTCTTCAAAGGTTTAGGCATATACAGATGATCAATAAATTCCCATTATTATGGTTCTGTAAAAAAATTGCACACATGCGCGCGCGCGCACACACACACACACACATGCATACATACAGCCTCAGAGTGGAATGCTCTGCTCCCCTTTGCCTTACCCAATATGCACTGACGATTCATGTATAATGATGGACCAGACTTGGAGTAATACCACCATGATCCTAATAACTTCCCACTGGGACTCATGCTTTGACCTGGTGGCTTTTGTTTTTCTCCTTTAATAGTGCATGTTAGGACCTTAAGGATAGATTTCCATCTGGCTATATGGATATAAATAGATACCAAAACCAGAGGCACCCCCTGGCCATTTGTGCATTAAAATGGCTTTGTATCCCTTATACATGCTTATGGGAAGGGCTGAAAGGGCAAAAATGTGGAATGAACAACCAAATGCAAATGCTCACCGGCATCCAGCATCCATTCACAGAGGGCTCCACTGACAGATGGGTCATAGGCAAGAGGGAGTTTGGCTTTTTGTGTGCTGCTGGCTCCTGCATGGCTAGTAGAGCCTTTGCTAGCTTTAGCTGCTGCTGATGGTGATGACAGTGACAATGACAATGATGATAAAGTTGACAATAATCAGTGTGACTTTTATAAGCAGATAATGCATTCCACTTGAAGTCTACCATTGAAGCTTTGGGATAAAGCTCAATTGTTTAGCAACTTGATGACTGAACATAAAACCTATGCGAACTCTTGCAGAAGTTAATGTGTGGCTTTGAAAAGGCTCCTCAGACTCCCTGAGCCTCAGTTTCCTCTTTTGCAAGGGAGGTGTAGTGTCAGCCAAATTGGGTTTTTATTTAGTGTAACATATCTGATTGAAACTCTACCTTCTTGCGCTAAGGCTGTCTTGTGACTTGTCCTTGGGTCCTGCCTTCTGTGTCACCTTCTCAGAGCAGTATCCATGGCTCCTTTTACTGAATATAACCTGCTCATTGTTCTGCCTCCCACTTCTTCTCCTTCCTATCAGCGTGCTTTGAAAAGCGTAATTACATAATGTATACAGTAGACATTGTGTATGTGTTTACAACTGTATGCTTATTTACCTACTTATTCTCTTTCCTCCTCCCCTAAACTCTGACCTCTGAGAATAGCCCCATGCTACCCCTCAGAGCCTAATAAAATGCCATGGGCCTAATAGATACTCAGGAAAAAGCTATTAAATCAATTAACGAGCATCAAAAACCCCAAGTTACAAACACAATGTGTAAAACATAATCTTACTATTTAAATGCCTAAGTATTTATATGCTTACACACATTAAAAAGGAAGGTTTGCAAGGTTTTACATTTCACTTTCAACCCTTCCCTCATTTTTTCTTTTTTCACAGAGAGAACCTATAAAGTTTAAAATTGAAAAAAAATAGGTGTAGAAGAATTGTATGCCTAAAAATACAATGAATTTTAAACCCTCCCTGGGACAGAAACAAAATTCATATTAGAATTGGCAGTCTATTAATCACTACTCTCAGTGTACTCCAACGAACAACTCTTCTCCCTTTGTAAGTTAAATTGATTCATACATATTGGCAAGTTAGCTATTTCTCTCAAAGGGAGTTGAATTTATTTGGGCTGTATATTAATATCTTATTATCCTTCTTATGCACCAGTGACATGATTATTATTTCATCTCAGTATATTTATTAAAGTAAATGCTTTTGGATGGGATTTTGAAAAAAAAAAAAAAAACCCACCTGTGCCTAGCAATCTTTCTGAGCTGATCCTGTAAACTCCTCTCCCTGCAGGCCTTTGCAGACCATGGCAACATTCATTGCCAGCAATCTACAGCAAGGCCACACATCCAGGTTTGACATAGATCTTCCCCAGCCATTTCTTCTGTGTGACCCAGTGTGTAAAGTGCGTCTTGCCTCAGAACTTTGCTCCATCTCCTGTCACTGATGAGCAACTGGTTGACCCTGGCCTGGAAATGTTTCAAATAATCTTTTATAAGTGGTCCATATTTATTGTTAAAAATTGAAAAATAAATTGAGGAGATGGACAATGAGAAAGGGCTGATCTTGGACAACTGTAACCCCCAGACAGATCTACAAGGCTTAGATTGATTTTGTTAGCAAATAAGAAGGTTGTTGAATTTAGGTAGGCCTTATTGCCAGAGCTTTGAGGCTAATACCCAATGCAAAGACATCATATAGTACATCTGACCTCAAGATCCTTGAGCCAGTGTTTTCCTGAAGTCATTTGCAGAGGAAACCAGGGGAAAATCATTTCACACAGCACAAAGCAAACTGCCTAAAAGGCTCTCTACTGTCCTCCCCAAAGCTCCCATCATGCTTTCAGCCTCTCTGCTGCTCTGGTCCCTTCAAATACTAGCCTTCCTCTTCATCTCTTCTACAACTTCGGCTCCATAATGTTCTTCTGTAGTAGTCTCATTTCCTTTTTTCTGCAATCTTACTCTGAGCAAAAAAATCTGAAATACAAAATCCTCCTAGGAAGAAGAGAAGCTGGGATTACATATACTTTGATATCCTTGTCCCTTCCTTTGACATTGATGACAGCTCCCGATCTGCATTCACAAATTTGATTCTCCCTGTTTATAGATGAGGGTGCCAGGCAGTGAGAACCAACTGTCCAAATCACACAGTCAGTGGCTGGGTTGGGATTAAACTCCTTAACCACATTTCCTCCCTCCATTCAGGTCATCAGAAATTGGGAAATCTAGCAGCCAGCACTGGGCACTCAGTAAAGGGCTGTAAGTCCATCTTCAACTTGCTCCTACGAGAAACAAAGTAAGAAATTGGAAAACATGACTTGCTTTCAAGAAGCAACAGTTCTCTTACTAGAACCAACATCAAAATTGGAATTTGATCTTACCTTGCTAGGAAAAAATTCTAGAGCTCCTGAATTCTTCTATTCAATGGGTTGCAATTCCCAAAAATGCTGGGTCCCACCTTCGTTTCCTAAGAGGAGCTGATAGAGATTGGTATGAACTATGTGAACACAAAGGCATCAACCATGAGAATACACAGAAGCTGAGAGTTGTGGAAGTCAGCACTTTAAGACGGAGAAGGTAACACTAGCCAACCTCTCAGCTTCCTCTGACCTGCTCAGGACTTTTGACTCCAAAATACCTGCCATTTCTTTCCCTCTAGTGATAAAGATTCGGGGCTCTGGAAGAAGTCCACTCACTATAGCACCATCAAACACCATTCACTGTTACTTTATTACTTCTTTCCTCACTAGAAACCATCTACCATTTAGCCTCTGTATGTTGGTCCTACCTCTGTTCTCCAGGCCCCCTTAAAAATAAACACTAAAAAATTGAAAAACTAATGAGGTTGTATTTTTTACTTTAGAGTTCAAATTCCGCTGGGTAGGGGCATTGGCTCTCCTGTATTTCCTCCCTACCTCATGCTCCAGGAATCTTCCCCAGAGCCTCGGGCTGAGAAAGATCTCCAGCTTTTACCAATGAGAATCCAAGGAGTGGTAGTAGGACAAGGACTCTCCAACCTTCACGAGCACCAGAATCCCATAGAAGCCTTGGTTAAAATCTAGTTTGCTGTACTGCATTCCTAGTTTCTGATTCAGTGGATCTGGAGTGTTGGGACGGCAGAATTTGTGTTAGCAGGACAAGTTCATACCACATTGAGATGATGCCAAGTCTTTACCAAAACCACATACTGAAACCCACTGAATTAGAAGTTCAAGGTTAAATTACATCCTTGCATACAACTGTTCTCTGTGGCCAACTCCCTTCCATGTGAAAGATCTTCACTAATAGGAAAACAGTACTCATGAAACTCTTGAATAATCACTGTTCCAAATCCTCAAATGACACTTAGTTGGAAGACTTTTCTGACTCCTCTCCTGTTCTATACATTGATATCTGGATTACACAACCCAGGAGAATCCCTGTCTCCCTTGATCTGGCCCTACACTGACCAAAGAGTGCATAGCTTCAAGTCTCATTGTTATCATATGCTGAAGACTAAGTCAAGCCTGTGGGACTTCTCCCAAAGAAGGGGTTTTCAGGCCTCTCTATATATTGCACTGTTGAAAAAAATTTTAATCTAAATTCAAGACCTGAAAATGTATGTTTCACCTTGATGACTAAGTTCATCCTTCTGAGCTATGAAGACCTTTTTGGATCCTGACATGTCATCTAGCTTTTTCCCTTTTCTCGTATCTACTGCAGATTTCATGGGTGGATCTCCCTGTCCCTATTCAAAATAACAATCCTCTTATAAAGGACCAGCCCAAGCACAGAGTTCTGTGATACACCTACAGCAACTTCTCATAATAATAGTAATACTGACACTCTGTGAAGGCTCTTCAGTAAGGTTAAATAGCTATAAATCTGCTGATGATTCTCTCCCTTAATCCACATTTCTGCATCTCATCATGCGATATTTCTTGTGGGACAGCATCACATGCCTTGCTGAGATCACCCATGCTTTGCTGGGGCATTTCATTGAGACACTAGATTTCCACTTTGCCTCTTCAAAATTGACATGAATGTAACCCATTTTTACATTGTGCCAATATAAAGGGTAGCATCATATTTCTTCTAAAATTGGTCCTTTCCTTCATTTTGGGGGGAAATCAAAAAGTTTTAAATTTGGTTTTCTTCTCTTACCTTCTTGATCTTTTGAGTTTCCACGAATCTTTTCATTATCCCAGGATATGATGTATCTAGATATATGAATTTAAACCATCTAAATAACCATCTAAATGTGTCAGATTTGTCCCCACCCTGTCCCCACCCCGATCCAGAGTTTTAGTGACAGTTTAAGTCCCCTTCTGGTTTGAACATTTTCTTTGCCCAAAGAAGATATCAATAAAATAATTGATCAAATTCCTTTGGTGGCTTACAATTGACCAAGTATACCAGGGAGGAGATCTACTACACATCACCGTTTAATTTCCCCCATTAATAATGAAACAACTGAGACACTGTACCTGGAGTAGAGACTTCGTCACTGTTGGATGAATAGATGAAGGAAGGAAGGAAGGAATGCCAGAGCACTGGCTCTGCTCACAATGAGGATCGGCACTGTTTTGCCAGGTGTTCCCATTCTCACACCTGGTAACTTCTTGTTGCCTAGCTCATGGACTGCCTCGAAACAATTCAGGTTGTTCTGCTCGTTGTCTTGCTCCAAACCTCAGCCTAAATGCATCACTTTATGAGTTAGCATTTTCTTTCCTTTCATCTCTTTGCTGGGATATAGGATTCAGACCAACAGAAGTAAGATCAAATGCAACTTACAAAGATGTTACTAGTCTTGGGGGCTAGAGAAAATAATTGAATGAATAGTTATAACTTTTCTGAAAATGTTACCACATTTTCCTCACTAGTGGGATTTATTCAGTATCTTATCATGTTTACCAGGCTCTAATGCATGTAATTTGTAGAGATTATGGCCAAATTTAATTTTAAATTTAAAATGATTAAATTTTGCATAGTTTAGATCTTTATCGTTGTTATAAGCATAGTCTATTTTGAACAACAACAACAAAAAAGAGATTTCCAGAATAGGAAAATCTGTGATGGTAAAGAACAGCTCAGTGCTATTCTCAGTTGCCTAGATGTAGAGGGGAGAAATTGAGAGATCATAGCTAGTGGATACAGTGGTTTGCTTTGGGATATCAAAAATAACTTAAATTTGATTGTAGTATAGTTGTACAACTCTGTCAATGTCCTAAAACCTATTGAATCCTACATTTTACATTTGTAAATTGTGTGGTATGTAAATTTTAGTTCAATAGAATTGTTCTAATTCATATTAAATAAAAAGAAAAAACTCACATAGTTTAAAATCTAGTTCCCCAGTTGTAACAGCTATAATTCATTTTCTCAGTGCCCATATGGGGCTACTGGTTACCATATTGGACAGTCCAGATATGGAACATTTCCATCCTTCAAAAAGTCCTATTGGGCAGATCTGTTCTAAACTTCATGCATATGCACTGTCCATTAAATCATTCAGGGAGGGGGGGATTTTAGCATTTTATAGTGGTTGTTTCAAATTTCCCTAGTAGGATCAGACATTAATTTCCCAGATGAAATTCCTAGATGCACTGGAAGAAAGATGATTGAGTGGTGCCTAGGAAAAAAAAAAAAAAAAACGAAAATGTTCTGACATGTTGATAGTCTAGGCTGGCAACTTAGCTTGTGGCATTTCGGAACAAGATTCAGAATCAGGAAAGTGTCACCCAAGTTGAAAGCTCCCCTGTAAGAACTGTCTTAGTTTGACCTAAAGTAAGTGGAAGAGACAGGGTAAAGGAAAGGGAAGCAGTGGAGGATGTCTAAGTGATAAATGGTACCCTGTCATATCACATTTGAGGTCTTAACAGGAAAAGGGGGCTGTTGAGCCAGATGTGGGTTAAGTGGGGAAGTTCAAACCTTGCTCTCGTCTTCATGTTGTTTGTCAAGGCACAGGTTGAGCTCGGGAGCTCTGAGTTCAATCACAGCATTTCCACTCTGTGGAGTAACAAGCCAATCCGGGGACCGGGCTCTCCCAGGCAGCCTCTGCCTTCCTCGACAGCAAGGAGTGGCAAAGCAGCAAACTGAGAAAATTGCCATCGGCAGCCACATCCTCCTCTCCTCCTCTCTGTGACTGCCCCAGACAGAGTGACAGCCACCAAAATCCTGCCTGGCTCTCCTGGGGCCAGGGAAGGTAGGAGCTGCCGCTGTCAGACTGTAGAATCTCATCTTCAAAGATTGCTTTCCCCGAATACACGCCAAAGAAAACCTTGATGCTGCATCTCTAAGGCAGTTGCTTCTCTCCAGAGTTCATTTTCTCCCATTCTATCTTCCCAGGGTAACTTCCACATCACCAACACACTTATCTGGGCTTCACATCAGCCTTAAAGATGTGGAGTATGGATCTCTTTTCCAGACTGACCGTCTGACTGTCTGACCTATGGCTGTTCGCTCTCATAGAAATGCATAACATGACCCTTGTTAAAACCACAATTAGTCTCAGCCCTTTACAGGAAATATCGGTTTGGTAAGACGAGAGATACCGTTAATAGGAAGTCACGTGCTTCGTAGCGAGCGAAGGCACAGCAGTCGGACGTGCACAATTTCTACTTATCATTGATCTCTGGCTGCAGCTGCTGGCTAATGAATGCAAAGGTTAGCATCCACATGTGTCCTCCTCTCTGTCCAGGGAGACCAGAGCAGGGGTGGGCCTGCCAGTCCCTTGAGGGTGCGGCTCTTTCAGGGTGCAGCCCTGGCGCTAGGCTTGCAAGGCTTTTGGACAGCAGATACTTCCATTCGCAGGTACTTCCCATTGCATTCCAACTGCGAGGAGAGGTCAGAAGGATTGCCAGTCTGAAGGCCACCTCAGACTTTGCAGGCAACTTCCATTATACCCCAAAGAGGTCACCCCAGAGACGATTAAAGAATCAAAGTAATGCAAAAGCTGCAGGGCCAGTGGCTGGTGAGTGTGTGGCTTTGGACTGGAATTCCTGGGCGGCTCCACCATACACTAGCTTTGGGGCTTTGGCCTTGGCTTTCCCATCTGCACATGGATGATGCTCTCTAGGGGTTTGTAGCAGTGACACTGCTAATCATTGATAGGAGCTCTTTATTAGTTATTCTGCTCCAGGTGCACTACTGAGATGTATGGATCATAAAGCGTAAGGATAGGAATAATATATCATAGCACTTCGTGCAAGGAGGACAGTCTAGGTAGTCAGGTAACCATGAAACAACTACTTAATCCATCTGAGTTTTTGTTTCTTCCTCTGTAAAATAAAGATAATCATACCTCTTTCACCTTGTATTGGAAGGATTAAATGAAGTAATGTTTAGCATGATTTCAATCTAAGAAGCTTTTAGGGCAAGCTACTACTAATATTGTTATTATTGTTATTATCGTTATCATCCTCCTTGATGCCCACCACTGCCTTTGAGATGGGTAGTATTATTTTGTCTTATAGATAAGGAAACTGAGGAAAACCAGTCCATAAGTAGAGTTTCTCTACTGGAAAAGAACTTAAATCTAGCCACTGTAGAAGTAGGGTTTTCAAAAGATGTGTGCCATGACTAAACATGATAATTAAGTAGTAAGAAAATAGAGTGGTTGGTCCAAAGAGATCCATGCCTAGAAAGTACTGTATACATTCCAGGTTGTGATTCCTAGATCTGGGAGCAGAAATATGTTCATTTTTCCTTTGGCTTTTTCCAAAACCTTGGAGATTGTGAACTTCTTTATAGACCCAAAGTGTACCCAGAGACATTTTTGGACCTTAAAAACCTTACTCCTGCCATTCATTACTGGGCCCTCAGCAAGGCACCTGCCAGCTGATTGGACAAAGGCCTCCTCAACCCAAGGAGTGACAGCTTGCAGAGCTGATCTTTAACCACAGTCATGTCCATAATTCAAACCAAGTGCTAGTAGACTTCCTCCCTTCTCACCCTCTCTCCCCACAAAGTGGAACAGGAAGGCATGGATAAAATTCAGTCTTTGGAGGTACTTCATTTACTCAATCTGTTCCTTACTCCCAAGATGAATAATGTGGTTAGTGTAAAGATGCTAAAACCTAGCAAAATTTAGCTACAACGTCAGAGGAGAAACAAAAACATAATTTCAAAGGATTCCCTGACTCCAGATAGTCTATTTATATTTAAAAACAATTCTCACTAGTGTGTATGTATGCGTTTACATTTATGTTACTTTTGCTTCTATGCACTCTTTTCCTGACCAGATCTTAGAAATATTTTTATCAGGCAGTTCCACACTGGCAACTTGTACATAAATGCAAGGACAGACACACAAGCCAAATGCACTGTCACTATGCTGTAGAAGAAGACAGTCACACATAGCCAGCGTCCTAGTGCCCCCACTGCAGCAGCCTGGTAGGCATTACTAATGGATCAGGACGCACGGAGCCTCAGCACAGTGTTTCAGGCAGACACTACCAATCTACTAGAGCTGAGAAGCTAGATGAGAGCTCTTTACCTTCATGGAGACAGAAGAAAATTCTTGTGCCAATATCCATGATCCAGAGAAGATGTTACCCAAACTATCCAAAAATTACTACCAATAATCCTACTTGATTTAAAATTCATATTTTTAAAGAGCTTATGCCTAATGGCAAAGAGAAAATTTTATTCTATGCAACAAAAAAATAGGGTAATTGCCCTGAAAGAAGGTCCCATTTTATTCATGTTCTAATACAAATAGAAACAAGTCTTGACTTAAAAATAGCATTGAAAGAAATATATATCCACTAGGCCGGGGATTTAGCTCAGTGGTTTCACCACCTGCTGCACAAACGCAAGGACCCGAGTTCGATCCCCAGTTCCAAAATAAATAAAGAAAAAAGAAAAAAGAAAAAAGAAATATATATCCACTGACTCAGTAGTTCCATTTCTGAGACTCTAAACTGATGAAATAATGTTATTTTAGGAAATTCTTTTTAAAAATACTGCTCATTATGACAGTTTGTATAACATCAATAACCATAAACCAAATGTTCAACAGTAAAAGGTAAATTATTAGTGTGTTTAATTTACTTTTTACTTTATTTATGCAGCTACTAAAATAAGTTATTATAAGATACATGGGTTTTTTAAACATGGAAAACTTTAAAAGAAATAAATATAAATATTTACAATGGTCAACTCTAGGTAGTCAGATTATACATATTTATTCCTTCATTCTTCTTAAAACTCTTTAAAATTATTATTAAAATGTAATATACATACAAAAATGCTCTAATCATAATTGAACAATTAATAATATGAATGAACCTTAGTGCCCTAGACAAGAACAGTTTGGTTTTGATTTTTATAATAATGGAGTCAAAATTTAACAACATTTTTCTAGTGGCTTCTTTCCTGTACTATCATGCTTCGGAAATTCAACCACAAACTTTTTCTACTACATTCATTGGCATTGTTGTATAGTATTCCATTTTCTGAGGATAGTATTGTATCACTTAAGGACTTTCTCCTCTCTGGGCAATTGCACTTGCAGTGTTGCTACCAATGTTCCTGCACATGGCTTTTTGGTGAATATTTTCTATTTGAGGAATTTCTAGGTCATAGGGTAGCAACTTTTGCAATTAAAAAATAAGCTTTAAAAATATATAAATTCCATTGGTCAAAGTCAAAAGCAGAGAAGATTCAAGAAACCCAGATTCCATTTCCACACCCTGCCTCTACTCTCTGTCATATCTTATCTATTCAGCCTGTCACTGCACAGTGTTTTCTGAATGCGTGAAGGGGAGAGAGAGAGAAGGAAAAGAAAGAGGAGGGGAAGGAGGGAAGAAGAAGAGAGGAAATAAATAAACGACCTCTTTCCACTTCTATGTCATTTGGCATTTTTTTTTACTGCTCTAAGGAATCTGTCACTTTCTTCCCACTAGAAACCTGTCATTGGCTACACATCTGTCTCCCCTGGGAGGTCAGGAGCAGCTTTATTTCCCTAGCATCCCTGGTGTCTTCACAGTGGCTGTCCTGTAATAGCATCATCAATAAATTCCTGCTGAATGGAAGCTTTGTAACTTAGAAATATTACCAGGTGTCACCAGAAAAGGACACACCAGAAGGAACTCTTGCAAGAAGTAAGATGAAGGAAGAAGACTGTTGCCACAGGCAAAGCATCCTGGAGAGAAGCAGGGGGAGGGAGGGAAGCAGGGGGCTGGATGGAGAAGAAGGGGCTGGTGCTAGAGAGGTTGTGGGGAATTCAGCAGAGCTCACTGACCAATCTGCTGCAGAAGGGATGTGACAAAGGAAGAGTCAAAGACAACAGTGAAGTCCAGGGTCGGATCGTTGCGGGGGGGTCCCATTAATTCCGGTGGATTTAGGGAGCCTGGGGAAGATGTGAGGACAACTCCTGAGTAAAGAACTCTGCAAGCCATGGATGAGTGCATTAGTTAAGTTGGCACCAGTGTGCCTGTCGCTTTTAGGTCAGAGATCCCAGTGACCCTCTGCATGTTGGATTTTTTCCTTTTTAAAATATGTTTTCACTGCAAAGGCAAGGAAAGAGACTGAAGGTTGATTGGTGGATCGAGTCCATATGGCTATTAAGACACCACAGCGGATCCCCCCACTTCTTGGGATTGTGAAGATTTGCCTGATCCTCGTGCT